GTTTCTTACCAACGCTGATCTTGTCATTGGGACTCTTAGACAAAATCTTTGCTAAATTGGATTTTTGTATATGTAACGTATCACCATACGCTTTGTTACCATATAATTTCCAAAGAAGACTGATTGTGTAGTAGCTGAATATTCACCCCTTATAGGGAGAATTAAAGCGGCTTCTTGACTTGATTTAGTTGCTGCATGTGTTGTGCATAGATTGCATCGGCGTCGGATGTTTGCCGAGGATATAAGGACCCTGGTCAGGTAACTTTTTTACATAAGACTGGTAAGGCTTCTTGGATGACAGCCTCTGGATCAGCGTAATCCATGTTTAGAGGCACAGAGCGTTATAACTTAATGTTATAGACAGTGGTGATCGCACATCTACTCAATATGGGCCACAGTAGTCTGCTTTCACTGTTTTCAAGAATCTTATCTTCTATTTGTGCGTTGAAATAGGCGACCAAAACTACAGCATGGAAAAGGACGTTTAACGATTGTATAAACTGAAACTATCTGATCGCATGACGTGACTACTATTTCCTATTCCATTTTGGTGCTTTATGTACTCATATTGTATTTAATTTCGGCAGACCATCATTGGTTTATTTAGTTTTCCCATAATGGAGGAAAATGATGATTGTCCAAACCAAAGTACCGCTATTACCAACGGGAGTCAACAAAATACAATAATCACTTCAATTTTGCAACTATACTTGATCAGGATACCACAATTTTTTGCTTTGCTTTTTTCTATCTCACACACACACATGAGGCTTCTCCGGTATTGGTTTCAGGCACATCGGTCTCTCCTCAAGCAACACGCCGCCGGAACTGTTTGCTTTTATGCCCGAATCGTTTTTGGAAGATATTGCAAACTATCTGACCTTTGTATTCAGGTACGCTATCATTTTCCCCTAATTCCCTTCTTTCTCTATCTGGCGGGATTTTCGCAGCTATAAGCAGTCGAATTTGTTGATTGGCAGTTTAGATCTCACTTTTCGCATTGAATACTAGTTACAGAATGCGAAAACACCGGTGCTTGAATTCAATGCTGTATTTGGCTTAGTAAAGTTCCTATGTCTCATGACCGCACCTTTTATGGTAGAATTTTCGGTAATGGTATCCTCCTGACTTGGGCATCTGTCATATTCCAACGGAACAATTCCTTTCCTTTGGTTTGCACTATATCATTTCAACTTAAATGCTATCTACCAATGGCATTCTGCTAGGAACCTCCAAAATGTTACTAGTGTTTCGACCGTCACAAGTCACATGTTTGACCGGTCTATCAAAACCCCGTACCGTTTGAATGAGCTGTTCTCTCCTAAACAGAAGACTGTCATTGTCCTATAGCACCTGTTTAATGTGGTCATGTTACCTAAAAACACAAACCGTAGTAACTTTGATCCAGTGACCACATCGCTGTTTATTTCCCTGTAAAACCGAACTAAAAATCGGAATTATTTTTAACGCAAAGTTTCAAGACACCTTGATGTCTATACCTACCTGGGATAATTCAACATCCAGTGATCGTTATGCTGTCCGCTACAGTTTCATGCAGCTTATATGATTGCACTATATATTTTTTCTATGATGGATTCGTCATTTAAATGGGGCGTGAACTGAAAAGCTGGGAAGCGCTGGACAGCTGTTTCGACCTGATTGGGTCTTATCAACAACGCGAATCCATCAACCCAAATGGAGATCAAACCCGGGACCTCCGACGGCTGATGAGACCGAACCAGACCGAAACAACTCTACAATACCTCCCCCTTTTCAGCTCAGGCCTCATTTACTCTTTACACCACCAAATTATGTGATCAAATCAAATCCTCCACCAGTATCACGCGGAAAGTGCTGTTGTTCCGTCGTACCATCTTTTATTTCAGCCGGAGGGTTGCTACAGATGATCAGCGTCATTTCTTGTTTGCTCAGTGTACTTCCTAACCGCGGGTACGGGGAAAAGCTCCGTTACAATGTTGCATTTTTGTGGCTTATTCCCATACATAGCACTACATCGGACAGCGGACATCAGTTTTTAACTTGAATCTTATCTAACAAATCTTATTCCGTTTCCTTCAGTTAATCATGGAAATGCAATCAGGAATCATTTAAAGCAGGTTACGATTAAGGCGTATCTGGTTGTTGTTGCTGGGCCGTTGACGACAAAACAGCCCAATCACTGAAGATCGCCCTACCCGATCATTTCGACAAATTCTGTCATTCGGATAGAACCATGATCCATCTAATGAAATACGTCCCAGTCACGTAATGTTTGGTGATTGAGCTATCGTCAATGTTTGAGGAACTACGACCAGCTTTGCCTCAGCTGTAGCTCGCAATAAACACCTCATCACCTTTTTGTGTTTATCGATTTGGGGCCAGAGTAGCTGTCCCGCACAAATTACACAGTTGCATCGAACGACCATCCGCAAGGTCGACGGAATTGAAGTCTGATGTCTGCTTCATTTCAGCACAGAAAGAGTGCGATCAATCCGGGTGTAGAGGAGACATCCGATCGATTGCCCAACGGACTGATTTGACCGAAAGTGGATCCAGTCGTGATCGTTCTTTCTCAAACTAACCTTAGTTTTCCAGGTCAAAGTGATCGTTTATCAACGTAAACTTGAAATACCAATCTGAGTTGCAGCGAGAAATTACTTCAGCATGTGATCAGTCCGAGCCTCGATGGAATTGAGGGCCTAGGCCGAACAAGCTCATGCACCGTCTGATCATGGCGACCAAGTTACCGGTCCGTCGTACTGTGACTACTTTTCTCACAGGATCGATCGATGGTAATTACCGCAGAGGTTCGTTCATCCCCGTCTAAGCCTATTCCACCAAAGATACTGGTGAGAGCAAATGTTTTCTGAGGAGAGGTTAATAAAAATCAATATTAATCACGCAGCAACACTACTCACTTGCAGTTGGGATTACAATTTGAAATCAAGCTAAAGTAATATATCTTTGACTACCTCGGTGGGACTACACATGAACGATAGTCAGCTGTCATGTTCGAGAAGTCGAACAGCATTTCAGTGGAAATGGTAACCCTAAAACCTTGCTGATGGAAGATTTTTCACGTGGCTCCCATTTTTTCAGCTCTTAGGTAATTTTTTGTCTATCCATTTCATTGATTTATACTCATTGTTCATTTTCCGACCCAAATACCGCTCAATCTCTATGCTCACTTTTTTTCTGGCGCTGCTCTCATTTCAGGCATTTCTCATCCAACGCCGTTCCTATTGATCCTACAGCTCAACCTACCCTAGTTGCATTTGTTCTGTTCATCATCTGTCACGCACATTTCGTTCGCAATCCATATTTGGTGGCCAAATTCGTTGAGGTAAATATTTTGTGTTCAGTACTGATAACCTGATTCATTGTCAGAAAAATGCACATTTCGTTGTTTAAGAGATCATTTTACACTTACTCGTCTGAGGACGACTGGCCTTTAATTAATCCGTGAGTTTCTAATGCACACAAGGAAATTGTAGAAGTTAGACATTGTTAGGATTCGACTTCACCACCTCCCAGTCGATCACGGTACAGTAATCTTTATAAAAATAATTTCCTTGGGGAGTCCACAATGGGAGCTTTCGGCTAGCCAAAGCTCGCCCCGCAAGGCAGCGGGACGATGTGTGAAAACCGCAATCCATTGGAGGCCGGTATCCAGTTCATCAAATCATACACCCTTTGGACGGGATCAAACATCGAAGGTACCCCGATGTCCAATTGAATCAGTGACCACAGCTACGACCACTGGCAAATCGTGGACGTTTTTCTTTGTCATAATGATTGCTATTCCGTGCTTTGTTTGGCACACGGTACGGAACCAGACACGTGTGAAAGATTTACAAGCATGCATGTTAGTTGGAGATTCAACCAGTTCCTTGTATTCTAACGTCCAAAAGAATCGTTTTTATGTTTCTCCTCATGGGCAATGTTTACTTGGTTACATATGTTACCTTTCATTTTTACGTGAAACA